AGAACAGCAATCTAAAATATCTAAATGCTTCTGATCGATAATCGCCTACAACTCGTAATAGTTTTACAAGATTTATTAAATTGGGTCAAATTAATTAAATTTTAGTGTATACCTTTTTAGAATTCTACTTTTACTCAATAAAAGTTTAATAATTTTTTTCTTTTTACGATTATCTAATATTATATTGTCAAAATAACATATCTATCTAAAGTTATTAAAAGAAATTAGGATAATTTGATAATAATTGATAACAGGCTGAACTATTTTTAGATTATCTGATATACCAATGTATAATACAATAACATGGTATTATTGAAAATCAGAGAAGCGCGCTTCTGACAGAATACAGGCATTTAGTTATGTGAATTTTAAAATATCAATACTGAAGCTGTCGGGCCAACACGCAATCTACGTTTCTATCATTTCTATCAATTTTCAAGCAAAGTTTACGACTCCTATTGATGTGCAGCCATGTATGCTCCCGAGTATGCTTGAGTGCATCACAAATACACAATCAGCAACAACGAAAAGCTTGAATTGACGTAAAACTCTTATACAGCAATTTCATTTCGGCCATAGATTTTAATCAACAACACATTTTTTTAAATATGCTTGCTAGCGTGTGATTGTTTAAGGATGTATCTGAGATACAATCGTTGACAAAAGTCCCCCAAATTCGAAATATTTGTATAACTGCGCCAAACGTGTAGTAAAGCTACACGAAGAGCAGTCTTTCTTAGAATTTATCCTGGAAATATGATAGGGGACAATATTGTATTTCGAAGAACTTTAATGTAAATCTCTCCCATTCATTGATAAAATTATAATAAAGTATAAAATAAGTTTGATCGATTTTACTGAAGTGCATGGTAAAAATCTTTAAAATATTGTACCACAACTATTTTCAGGGTAAATTTTAAAAGAAAATTCTCTTCGTGTAATGACAACTTATATAAATAGTAGATAATACAATATATTTATTTTTAACTTTTTTAATATTTTTCACTTTTTTAATATTTTATTAACTTTATTTGTCAACTTTTTATAACAAAACATTATTTACCAGTGCAAAACGGACAAAGTAATTGGAATATGGTTAAAAAAGATAAATATGCATTATTTATACAATATAAATATATTATGGCAGAATATGGCATATGCCATATTGAGCCATACATACATACATACCGCAAAATTGTTATGAATAATATTATAATTTCTCTGAAACCGCATTGTGAAAAATGAATCTAATTTTGCAAAAAGTTCCAGTAATTTAGAATTTATACGTATAAAAAAAATTAAATTTTTTTGGTACTATTTCTTCAATACTTTTATCACTAATTACATTCGACAAAGTTGCGCGTTTCCCGTAAAAAAACGTCTCTTATAGAACTTTAATACTAATACTGACCAATTAATCACTTATTTTCAGTATTAAAAATACTATTAATAATATTTTTAATACTTAAAATAAGTTATTAATTGGCCAATACTAGTATTAAATTTTTATAATCATCATAATTTAAATAATAATTACTCTCTAACGGTTTAGTGAATTTACTTGAAATTTTTTTTTGGTATATTACAGATAACAAAGGAAGAGTTTCCCAAAGTTTCATCAATTTGATACTATTTTTGAAATAGCTCAGATACTTTAAGCCTTAAAATTATATGATGTCATAATAAAGTAAATATATCAGTATGAATGATATCAGAATGATATAATAAAGTAAATATATCAGTTAAAATACATTGAAGAAAATTGCTGAATATAATTCAGAATTTATTTGTTAAAAATATCAATTTCTCTCACATATTTTTCTGTTAAATATCTACTAATATTTTATTTTTTAAATGCTGTTGATGAGAAAATTAGTAATGGAGTAAAAATATTAAAATTGAATAAAAATGTTGAAATAATTATAAATATAGAATATTATTACGAGGTATATTAAAGATCATTATTAATTATATTTATCTATAAAACTTCCGGGTATTTTTCTCAAAAAAGCTGTCCGATTTGCAAATTATTTCCGTATCTTGATACATCGTTAAATGCTAACATTTTGTAAACACTGTAGTTTACTTCATCAAGGCGAGAAGCAATCTGATATTGAGCTGCCTCTTTGGAATATTCTTTTTATGTACGTTGTTAAGGAGAGAGGGAAAGGAGAGAGGAAAGAGGACAGTTAATATGATGGAAGAGGAAGCCGTTGAAACTGTGATGAAGGCGATTACTTTCGGCTGATTAATTTTCAAAAACTGAGAGGATAATTTTTCATATGATTATATCTAGTAAACGTCTTTGATTGGAACTTGTGTGAAGAGGGATTCTACATCAAAGCTCTTCAGCATGTCTCCAGAAAGTAATTTCTAACTTTCTGGATTTTCTGTATAAAATCCGTCGAGTTGATATATGATTCGGTTTTTCCACAGGTTGTAGATTTTGAGCAAGAAAACACGAGAAGTCATATATTGGGGAATTTATAGTGGTAACAATTGGGATGTTCAGTTTGTGTATTTTTGGCAGTTCGTATAACTGAATAGAAGAAGATTTGTAGGTTTAATTATGTATTGATTTAATTTTATGGGGGACATTACTTTTTTCTATTTAGGATCTTGATATTTTGTACAATTGTTTGTTGTCTTTGCCAAGTTTTATATATATTTTGTCCAAGAGGAGAATCTTTATTTTCTTCCTTTAGTGTGATATATTCATGACTACTATCGAAAATCATTTTATTAATATAAGACTATTTTATTTAATAACCAAATATTAATGTATGTCTTCATTTTTATTAAATAGTTTTCACGTGTCTTTAATAATCTCTTTAATTTGCTCGAGAGAATAGACTTCCACATCTCCACAGAAGATCGAAAAACATTTGGTTTTAAATATATATTAACAGTAATAATATATTATTACTGTTCAAAATAAAAAGATTATTAAATAATAGCAGAATCTAATATTTCGCCGCGTTTTCTACAACAGTATTTTCGTTTACGACGAGTCGATAGCCAAAACCTATTCCATGTTACTACTTGACATTCGTGTTTATCTCTATGTGTGAGAAATGCATCCAATTATTTTATTGTTACGTCAATAGTTTTATTATTTTCATTAATCGTATCAGGTAAACAAGGCATTTTTCGTTTTAGTTCAGTACGTCTAAAACAATTTTTTTCTCTTTTTTTAAAAATTTTATCTGTCAAAATAGAGAGGAAAATAATAAAAAGCAAAGAGCATACAAATATTCATAGAGATATTTGTTGTAAAAAAAAGCTGCGTACACAACTCATCTGCGCAGTATTACGGTTAAATTCGAAACTTATTATTTGCAACATCTGAGTCTCTGGAGGTTCAGTAGGCGAGTATCTCATTAAAAGTTATCGAGAACATATAAGTTTGCTTATAACGCCTATGTAATTAAAAGGTTGCACAACTATACAATTTACCTTATTAGTGATGTATATGTCAAACTCGTTATGACATACTCCAGAGATAATGTTTTTTTTTCTTATTTATATCACCTGCATAACAAGTATCATATTTACGTATCATATAATATTATATTTATTGCACGCGTTCATCTACAATGAAAGATATTCCTATATATCTCATGTTCCTCCTTAAGAAAAAAAAAGAACGTTGCAATAATTGTACACTGCAGAAAAATTAATTAGCACGCTCCGGAAGAATTATCATATGTTTAGTTTTTTCCGGGTAAATCTATTTCTGAACGACGGACGTAAAATCGCTATAGTTATTTGTTTAAACGTACGACGAACCATCGTAATAATTTTCTATCTTTTCTACGAAACTAGTTATAAATAAATGAACTTTGAATCGATGCGACGGGAATAAAAAGAGACATGTAAATAAGAGGTCGACGTTGTTCTAGGTGCTAAAAATTTCAATCCTTCATTTATCGTATACGGAGTGTCCCAGAATTATACTTGTGCTTTTCTTATAAATATCAATAAATGCTAAAAAAAGTGATAGTTATTTATGCATCAACAGCTTTTTGTTACGAACTATTGAGAATTAAATATACTCTTTTACCTGACGTTTTTTCTTTGAATCTGTATAGAAAGATATAATCAAACCTTATTTAAATTTTATATTAATTAAATTTCTTACTACTCATTTTTCTTCTCTTGAATCACATTATATTTAATTAAATCGTAATTGAATAAAATAATCAGTAAAAAAAGCTAACATTTTTCATGCCTTTCATTAAATAGAGATTAAAATTGCGCCAGTAAATATGCTAAAATAAATAGTACGCGTGTTAGAAATGTGTGTGAGTTTCGAGAATTCCAAATCTAATGAATGTGTCGTCACGCTGTGTATTTTACGTCACGCACGTTAATTTATGGCAGCAAACAGCGAAGGTGTAACCATTAGCTAACAAAATGGAAGAGATATGAACCGAGTATATAAAACTGGACGATTAATTAATGAAAACTGTCCCTGGATCATGAAAGTCAAGGTAATTCGAACGGCAGTCAATTACATGTGTCTTTCGGGGGAAGTTTAAATCGACTAACGTCATCCGCAAACACTCCTACGAAGCTGCAACTGATGTGTTATCAAGAGACTGAGACGATCTCCCGCGAACGTAGGCAGGACCTTGCAACATGCGTAGCCAAACAGTGATCGAAAGAACGTGCGTCAGGTGATGGCTACATGAGAAGAGATAGAAACTGGGCGGTTACGATTAGATGCGCACGGCGAGGCACCCAGCCCGGCTAACTAAAACGGGTAGGGGTGGATTTTATAGGATAGCGAAGGTCGGGCTGGGATCCTTCATTCTAGCTCTTGATTTTGCGATCTCCGCTTTAACAGAGGGAAGGAGAAGAACGGCTGTTCGCTGAGGAACACCGAAACTATAGACATTCTCCCTTAGATATTTCCGGATATCACCCTCTCTCCGTCAGTAGAATTGACATTTTTCTACTTTGCATGCATCTTTCATTTCGAGCTATGTAGGGACTGAATGATATGCTCGAACGAGTCACGAACAGTGTTAGCTGGCGCCAATACGACGTCCTATATTTGCGAGGAGTACGAAATTGTCGTACGAATAGTGGATCGTGGACTGGATGATGGCACTGGTGATGGCCAGGTGAGACGCAAGAAGGGATGAAAGCCACCCCGTCGTCGCTCACTCCGGTGTCAGAGAAGAGGGGTGAGCGCCGGGAGAATGCGCGTTGTATTAAGCGCCGGGTCCTCGCCGCGCAGCGTGGGAGTTAGTTCTGGTGAGGGCGCCAGGCAGCTCACTCACCGAAGTAACCCACCGTCCCAACCCTTCGATCCTCCACATCCCTCGACCTTCGACCAACAAAGCAACCATCCACGGCCGCAACCTCCTCACCATTCGATTCCGTCGTCTCTTCCCGTCGGTTGAGAGCACCTACTTCCGCGCCGTAAAGAAAAGGGGCGAGTCGGCCACTCGTCGCACGGCACCCTCGCGAGGATCTCCTCCAGTGCAAGCGCGTCAACGACGGCGTTCGCGAGGGGGTGTGCATCAACGAGAAGTGGTGCTGTCGCGCGACGTGCCGAGGTCGGGTGAGCGGAAAGAGTTTCGCATCGTGGGAGACGAAGTGAGAGAGCAAGAGAGGGAGAGAAAGAGAGAGAGAGAGAGAGAGAGAAAGAGCAAAGGAAGAAAGAGAGAGAGAGAATCGAGAAAAAGAAAGAGAGAGGGAACGTTTCTCGTCGCTCAATGGAACACCGGCGCGGCCGGTCGAGATCGTCGGCGACGTCAGCACGGGAAGTCGGGCAACCGCGGGAAACAGCCTTTAACCTTTGAAATACGCCGCGCGATTATAGTCGTAGACCAGACATCATCGTAAAAGACCGGTGTTACAGGCCTAGAGAAAGGAAAGAAGAAAGAGAGAGAGAAAGAGAAAAAAGAAGCAGGAGTGGGAAGAGAGACGGAAGGGGGTGTATAACTGCGTTAGAACGAGCATTAGAACAACCTGGAAGATTTGTCCCGGTGACTTCGCGGTGATATCGCGGTGACTACGATACCATACCTTTAGCATAACGTCAGACACCACACGTACACGTACGCACTCACGCACGCACGCACGTACATTCAGCTCGAACGAGCGGACGAGAGAGAGAGAGAGAGAGAACGCGCGCGCGCGCGCGCGCACATTACACGCCCATATATGAACGACCATACGGAAGCGGATCGTGGTGAGCGACGAAGATGTCAGTGAATGAATCGCGCCCTACCGTGGGTAACCGGACGACGTCGTACGTGGTATGATCGCACGGGGTGCTACTAGGGTGCTGTTGTCGAGGCGAACATAGGTCTCTCCGTGGCGCGCGACGATCAAGCAGGAGAGGAAGAGGTAGCGTGATGCATGACGAATGTCGCCAGAACGGTAGCTTCAGTCCCTTCAGTCAGAAATCTAGGTGTCCGCTGAAGAAGGCGGAGCAGTAAAAAGAAGAAAAGTGCGCTCGCATGCAAAGAGGACCGAACGTATCGGAGGACATCCCCTTTCATTCACAGACGTTCCCGGGAGAAGGCCGCGAGGTGAAGGCAAAGAGATATCGTATCGCGATATCAAGAGGATCGCCCACAGAAGATTAAGTGAAGCTGGGCAAGAAAGAAGATAAAGAGAGAAGAAGAATCGAGAGGAAGAGAGAAGAGGAAAGATAGAGACGAAGAGAGGGCGAAGTGAAAGAGAAAGAAAAAAAAAGGAAGAAGAGAAAGAAAGAGAAAAAAAAGTTAGAGGACGAGAAAGGAAAGGGAGTTTAGGTCGAGAAGCGGCATCACGGAACGGCGCGACGCGACGCGGAGGGTCGAGGGAAGAAAAGAGGCCGAGGCGGGAGATCGGAGATCCGAAAGCTCGGAGGAAATACGCTGGCACGGCAGACGCGCGGCGACGAGATATCAAGAAGCAAGTATTACCCACGTAATGCCCCGCGTAACACTGCACCTCCTATCGATGAACCGTAATCTCTGTCTGTAACTCTCCGGGCGTCTCTCGCGCCCGGGCATCCTCACTATACATATATATATGTATATATATATATCGGTGTACCTTTTTTTCTCTGCCTTTGTTCTACACACCCTGTGTACCTCTGTCGCAATACACACTCGTGTACCGCCTACTCCCGCGTCTCGCACCGACAAACGCGCACCGCTCTCTGCCACGGCAAGCCTTTGCTTTTTGAACGTTTTTCGGGCACCTGTTGATATGACCGACCTACATACCACACTGCTATCCACATTATGTCACCCCTTCATAATGTCGTACGGCACCAGATTATCGGATCCGTTACTCGGGATCCGATACTCGAGAATCGTCGCGTCCTGCGTGTCGATCCCGCTCGCGCGAGTTACGTCGCCGCGGACGGTCGCGACGCGTATTAAACACGGCTGATATTCATTTCTATACCAATGTACATTACCTTTAATCTCGGTTTAATTTACTTTCTATCCTTTTTTTAATTCTTAGAATTGGAAAAAAGATAAAAAGTAAATTAAACCAAGGTCAAAGTCAACTTACATTGGTAAAAACAGGTACGAATATCGCGCGATGACGCAGATTTTAGAAAGACTCGAAAAATTCCTCGTGACTTGAACCTGAATCGATATCGTAAAGCTATTTAGATTGAAGCTACTTGTTTCATCTCTCAACGCAATCGCGATTCATTTTCTTTACTCGATATTTAAATTGCAAATCGACGATGCTCGAAGTATATATGAAAAATTTGAGAGAAAGATTGTGTTTTCAATCGTGAAAGATTTCTTTTCATCAGAGGGACGCGATTAAATTCAGCGCAAAGTGTATCATGAATCGCCGTACAAAATCTCCGTTTCATAATAAAATACAGAATCGCTTGGGGGCGTTTAAGTTCGATTCATAAATTTTTATAGCAGGTATTCCGGGGAAGTATACTTGGAACGGCGTTCCGTTGCACGCATAACATTCTGCAACAAGGATAAAATGATACCTCATGCGTATTATGCATGCAACGGAACGCAGCCTTGGAGTAATTCTAGTGGTCCGGGTGGGTTTTGATATTCGAGTCTATCACCGAATCCGAAATTAACTCAAACGAAACTTGGGTCGAGTACGTGAATGAAATTTTAGCGCTCCACATAGCGTTTAGGTACAAAATTTGGAATTTACAGAAAGAGCTAAAAGGAATCGCGCCAATAATCTTGTGTAAATTTCGCGTTGCGATAGTCTCTCCGTTTCGTAATGGCACGCTCCGTGAAAATGACTCCGCAGTCACGTACGCGGCTTATCTCGCCAACATTATGGTCGCGGCTCTCGTAGCGAAATTTAGGTAGGCGCGATTATTTACAAGCGAACACGTAGATGGTTAATTAATCCGTGGATTATCCGTAATCGCGATCGCCGCCGGGGCGTCGTAGCTTGATTTCCGCTTTGTGGAAATGTACAATATCCGGGATATTCGTTCGATACGTAAGGAGGAAGGGAAGCTTATAGGGACGTACGACAGAGAGGAAACGAAAAAGAGAGGGTGGGCCGATTGAAAGAGCAGAGAGAGGAAGAAGGAAAGAGAGAAAAAGATAGAGAGAGAGGCAAGAAAAGAAAGGTAAGCGAATGAGGAAACAACACCGAGGGAGAGGGTCGTCTCTCGGAGAGATGGTAGCTTTATTGGCGAAAACGCGAAACGATCGCGGGCGTTTAACATGAGTGGCACCATCGATTGATTTAAATGTTGTCCACACTCGAGCACCTTATACGCATCTATGAGCACGCACGATGAGCACCTCCGATAACCACCTCCACACGTCGCAGCACTTCTGTTGAATATCCTGAGAAAAAAAAAACAAAACCAAAAGTAATAGATTAAAAAAAAAAGAAAATTTATAAAAACCATCACAAATCTTTTTGTGTTCCTGGCACTCACGGTTATAAGATATCGCACGTTGTTCTCTATTAACGACCTGATTTCAGGACGGTCGGTACAGGACGTGTGCGCTTTATCACGAAGGGAAAACCAAGGTCGCGGCTACTATCATGGACTACCGAAAGTGAAGCGTATCGATTAGAAGAGCGAGCATAACGCAATCAAATGTCAAACGTAATACGCCGTGCATTCGATCTAATGATTTATCCTTGACAGGAAAAATCAAGGAAAAAAAGAGAAAAAAAAGGAGAAAGGCCCAGTACTTCTCGGATCTCCTGTGATAGAATCCGTGGTCCCAATTGGAGCATGCTCGGCAGATTGCAGTTGATACAGTTGCACGCGTAGCACCGTTACGTTTTCTATGCAATAATCGTCGTTGTGTCGTAACATATCGCCGCTCGTGATTTTTTATCAAGTTTATCCTTCCCTTCCTCGCCCTCTCGATATCAATCGACCGCCCCGTATCTCCCGCCCACCCTGCACACACACACACACACACACATACACACACACACACACGCACTTACACACACATACACACATACACGCACGCACACATACACACACACACACACACGCATACACTGACACGTACATATATACATACACACGTACATGCATATACCTGTAATATACAGCATTCCATCCTCAACTTCCTAGTGTACCTACCGCGAGTTCAAACGAAAAGTCGGCCTAACCCAGAGTTGCTACAGACGTGCCTTTAGACTGGCAGTGAGTAGTAAGCAGCTAAAGAGAGCAAACAAGAAAAAATAAAAGAGAAAAGAGCATCATTGCTGTTCATTTAGGTCAATTATAACACCACGCCCAGCCGTATAATCGGGTGCGTCAAAAGTGGTGGTAGAGAAGGAAGAAAAAGAAAGAGAAATATATACGTAGATATATATAGACAGATAGAAAAAGTTAGAAGGGTAGAAGAGAGAGAGAAAGAGGAAGAGAGAGAGAGAGAGAGAGAGAGAAGAGAATAAAGAAGGGACTTAAAAAGCGTTAATGATTTGTAAAATGGCAGTTTGCATGTTCTGGCTTCTCACCTACGTGGGACAGGGGCTGGATTTGGCGGTAGGCAATCGACCCGTGATTATACAAGTACAAGGCACACAGGGACTTGACTATCGTCACGGAAGCAGTAGCATTAGAAAGAAGAGCGAACTGAGCTCGGTAGGTAACAACCTGTTGCATCTAAAAATATATCCTTCCGATGGTCCCTACCGGGACGATCTGTCGAACTGGCTGGTTTTCAACGACGAGCCGCGGATATCCTCGTGGTCGCCCGCGGGTATGCTGATCGACGACATTGTCAAGGAGCCGCGGGAGCTCCAGAACGTGTTCTTTGCCCTGTCACCCGCCGTGCTGAACGTTCTCTATTCCGAGTACGTAACGTCGCAGCCACACGCCGCAACGCAACCCCACGTCGCGGAGCCCTACGTTCACGACGATGGCAATCATCTGCTCGGCGGCCGGCAGGCCCATCAGCGTCCAAAGAAGCGGCGCATCGGATGCCGGCATCCACTGAGAGGTCCGCTCAGTCTACCGATACTGGTGTGCGACGAGGCTGGCAAGAAGGCTACCACTCTTCAGGAATCTAGACAATCGAATCACGACGATCTCTACGCGGAGCAGAGATTTAACACTGCGACGAGTACGAAGACTGATCTCGCGCGCGCCGAGGGCGGCACCCCGCTTAACTTACCTACGAATGGCGGCTTCGTACCTAAGGCCTTCGCCTATGAGACTAACGGAAACAAACTACCCGGAAGTAAACGGAGCCAGATAACGATCGGGCGACGTTCGATCGACGCGCAAGGAGAATCCCCGGGACACCAGGCTCAAGCGTCCTCGGCGTCCTCGACGTCGTCCGCTGGCGCGAGCATCGCTTCACAGCTCATGCTGAGATCAATCCGGGGAAGCATACAATACGACGTGCCGCAGATCGGTAAGTGGTATCCTCTCCTTGTACGTAGATATTTATGAGTAGTCCGCGAAAATGTTTAATTGATTAACAAGATTATGTGCTTTAATCTTCCGGATTATGAAAAATCCGAGTTCGAATCCAGCTGGGGTAATATTTTTCGTAATTTCGCAATAAATTATTTATAGTTTCCACGATACTTTTTTACAGGAATAATATTAAACTACTTGTCAATAATTTGTGATATTACTACTCCAGTTTCGGTTTAGGATTGTGTTTCAAGACCGACAATAATTAGCGCACAATTAGCTTGAACTAATTATATAAATTCACAAGAAATTAAACACGAAAAACCATATCGACTAAATATAGCGTTTTTCACTCATGTGTGTTTAATCCTCCGGAGCTGATGCCAAAATCTGTATAAATAGTCACTGACGCTAAATCTGTAAGACCCACTTAATTTATGTGAATTAAAAGGTACTAATTTCAAGGAATCAAAATCACATAACTTGTATAAAAAGGAATAAATTCCAAGTACATTTTGATAAGAATAATCCAATCCTGTAACACAAAGAAAATTGAATTGTTTGACATTTCTGATAGAGAGATTTATAATTGAGGTGGTCGAATAAATCCACTGTCAGTTCCGGAGGGTTCAAAATTTAATTTTTAAAAATCCAAATTTATATAGACGTAACAAAGAAAATTGAATTGTTTAATATTTTTAAAAACAAAGAGATTTATAATTGAGGGAGTTTAATAGATCCACCGTCAGTTTCGGAAGGTTAAAAAGTCCAAAAATTTCAGAGGAATATATCCTGATAATATACAAAAATTTATTCCACTTGCCTATTTTTTCCCCTTTTTACCTTCTTTTATTATAAATATTATCATAAATATTAAAACGTTATAAATAGTAAAAGTTTGTATGAGGTTTTTAAAACGTTCGATCAATTTTGTGAGTTGTAGACAAAGAAACATTTTTCTGCAAAAATCAATTTGATTAAGCTTTTATTTAATGAATGTCAATGCATATCGAGACATTTATCGTATGATAAGTTATAGAGATACGTTAATCCATTTTAAATGTTCCGATAACATTATGCCAAATTTCTTGATAACGATATGGATGAATTTTTTTTCATATATATATATATATATATAAACAAATTTCAATTTTGATAAAATATAATCCTTTCATGTTTTTCTCATTTCCTTGAAAAATGTATGGATTATAATGAATTTAAAAAGTTTTACTTTTGTAATATACTTGTACTTTTAAATAATATGTGATAAATTATATAAAACGGGAGAAGAGATTTCCAACTATCTCTGATTACTTTTTTGTCTCTTTTATTTCTAATATTCCAATCACTTCTTGATGTAATTCTGAATGTTAAATGAAAAGCTGGATCGAATGTCGAATAGAAACAAATTAAAACATAAGGATATTTTAATACTGAGAAACTAATTTACTTTAAATCTTTGTTGCTTCTCGTGAAAATGAAAATAAATAGATCAAAATCGAAAATTATAGATAGAAATAGTGAAGAAAAATTTTTTGACTTCTAAAAATTCGCAAATTCATAAAATCAGTTTTTTGAATTTACCTATATTTTACATAATATGGACGAAGGATTTAAAAAACATTAATTTAGATAAAATGATTTTTTAAATATATTTATTTAACCAAGTAAATTTAATTGTGATAGTTTAGAGATTTCAAGAAGAGAGCTCATTGGAATTGATATGTGTATTCCTCGTAAATCTCGATTTCCCTGAAAATCCGCATTTGTACAAAAATGTGAAAGTTGTTCTAATTTTTTGAAATATGACTCGAATGAGTACATCATGATACAGATATACGTGGTATGAGTTACACATGAATAGAACAGGTCTATAAATCCAAATAAAATGCGTCGCGCGCGAGAAATACAGACAAAGCGCTTCTGCAAATAAAGAAAAAGTGACGAAACGCTGTCGCATGGCGTGTCCCACCGTCCCTCCCAAATTTATTGATCTTGAAGAGAGCGCCGACGGAGCGAATTCGCGACAAGACGATGGCGTGAAATAAGCCGAATATAGGGTATGCCACTAAACATCCTCTAGTCGTATAAACGATATTGAGAAATTTAAAACGTGAGGAGCGTGTGGAATGCGCGGATTCTTTTCATTGAAAGTTTCCTTAAAATACCAGACCCACTTTGAAAAGAGAGTCGTTATAAAAACGTAAAAGGAAGGGTGACGTTCAAAGGTGTCAAGCGTTGTTTTATCATGTGCTGATCTGTTCTAGTCACGATATATAAAGTGATAGGTCACAATATAAAATGCTACGGACATCCGTTTTACTATCGCGATTATTATCGCAATAGCAAGTTTAACATCGAAATTTACATTCGTCGACCCATATCTCTCATCGTACATATTTGGCATTACATTTACTAAGACTCATCCTACGCGCTTTGAATGAGATCTTCGTATTAAGCAAGCAGCACAGAGAACTATGCTAACCACATTTAGCGTACACTGAGTACACGGGCTTTTGAGATACACCGTTATACTGGGCAAATAACAGGGAGAATCAGTCAACTACATTTAATACTGAACATGCTGCGAGAATACCAAGTATACTGAAATATACATTTAGACATTGATATAACTGCCGATTAACGACGATTAAATTTACATTAATTGTCACAATTATAGGTGAAAAATTCTATACGGTAACTGTAATTAATTTAATTAATTGATATTTTAAATAATATAATGGAAGAAGTGTTTATTTTGATAAACCACAGAAACTAAAAATATCGAAAATGGTCGCAATCAATAGAAAAAATATTGACGAAATAACGAAAGCAATAACTGAAATAATATGAATTTTACATGAGAAACCGAACGTTTTTATGTTGGAAAGACGATACTTGCTCCCCTCCTGTGTTTTCCGATTCCGCAATACTTTTCATGCGAGAATTTTCCAATTTGGCCGAGATATCGGATAATATTAATGTTTATATGGATAATACCTGAACCTCTATCTAAGTATAGCGCCAGTTTCAAAAAGAATTGAAAAAGAATTTTTTCGATCCTATTTACAGAATGTCCAGTCTCCGAAGACGGAATGGAAAGATTTGCTTGCCCAACTGCGGATAGAATGGGTAGATATCATTGCATCGACGATCATGTCTTGTGCGACGGCTTTATAGACTGTCCTACAGGCGAAGATGAGGATAGGCAAGCCTGCATGTTTTACAAAACCGTGAGTAGAATTACGTGATAGTTCTATTTATTTTATATGTTATATATGTATGTGTGTGTTTTATATATATATATATTCACACACACATACACACATATATTTCTCTTCGAATCCCTTATCCCTAATGGAAGAATTTTGATGAATCCGATCCTTTGAAGAAAACTAATCAAAATACAGAATGATTTTTTTTTTAAACCTTAAACTTGGAAATAATATCGTATGTTTCCCATTAACGAAATTTAAATAAATTTAGAAGGAAGTCTTTGTAAAGTGCGAGAATTCCATTTAAATTTTCATCATGTGGTTAAGGCTAAAAGATACGTCTGACTATATGTATTTTGCATTCTATGTAAAACTCTGAACTTTTAAAGTGACTTTCGTTATAAAGTTCAAAAGAAAATGGAAGCGTGTGTTTGCGATAACCGTGGGTGTAATATCAAGAGCTCGTTTTCTGACTCGCCGGTAGCATTTTTCTGGCGGGGTTTTGGAACAAAATACGGGGAACACAATCTTTTTGATAATTCATACACCATCTGCTTATACGTGTTTAAAATAGTCTGTACGTCGATAAATTCGAATTACCCAATTTTCCTTTCAGCGTCCCCGCGTCAAGGGAATGCTATCAGCACGACAGAAAAAAAGATGGAGATCCCTAGATAAACTAATACTATCTATTGACATTACTTCAGATTAAAAAAAAATACTATCTTTTATCCTTATAAGAGGATAATGTTCAAGATTAATAAAAAGATAAAAAGATTGAGAAATTCATTAGAAAAGTATGTACTAAAAACATATCAAATATATTAATAGTATATTAAAAATATTGACCTGATACTTGAATATCAGATCTAGTATGATAAGCTATACTGTTAAACCTATAGTATCAAATTTAACTTAATTTAAATCGTCACTGCTCTACTAAATATATGGTTATTTTATATTAAAAAGATATTTAAATTTGATACATATCGTATCAATTTGACAGTATATAATGTCAAATATAATCATTATTTTAGTATAAAACTTTAGTATAAAACAACGACATAATTGGGTAGAAGCAAGGGCGACTTACATTAGATTAAATTGGACAATATAGATTTAATAGTACAGATGTGAAAACAAATAGTACATGAAGATTTATATACGGAAAGAACGATTTTGTTGAAGTATCTAAAAATTTCAGATATACGCATCTGAAAATAATTTTGTTAATTAGATGATTAAAATAATCATTATAAATAGACCGCTTAATGAGCAATACTGCAAAAAGTTTTGACATTCTAGCTTGAACGTTATTGTGATGGTCTAACAAAATGATTTTCAGATATTTTAACAAAACCGTTTTTTCAGTGTATGTTTCAATTATTAATCACAATCATTGTACGAACAACGTATTATAAATACGTAAAATATATAGATACGTAAAAAGGGATGCAAAACGAGAATTACGGAATTCATGCATGTATACAATCATTTTCCTTTTTTTACACGAAACGCTAAGTCGACAGATAAATAATACAATCGCATTTTGATATGTTTCAGACGAAAGCGCATCTGGATGTATTAGCGGACGCCATACTACGATGGGCGAGAGGACGCTAATTCCTTTCTTTGTTGACGATGAATCTCCAAGCTGTACATAAAACCACAAGTCTGATACGTCTACTTCTTTATATATTCATCTCGATATCTTTTTCTCCTACATTAATCTATTTTCCGGAAACTGTTTTCTCTCTATGTTTGGCGCATAGAGACGTTCATATTGAAATCAAACTCAGGGGAACGCGTTAAGAACCGTCTCTCTCTCTCTCTCTCTTTCTCCCCCCATTCTCTCCTTCCCCTCTCTCTCCCCTCCTTTCTTTCCCTCGCCGTTTCTTTCTTTTTCTATTATCCTCCTTCTCCTCCTCCTCTTCCTCTCTCTCTCTCTTTCTCTCCTCTCTTTCCCAGAAGAGAATACGGCCGTTCGACTTAATCTCCGAGAGGACACGGCATGGTTCTAACTACACTAAAAATCGGTTAGCAAGGTCTATCGTAACCAAGATATCCTCACATAAAGTACAAATTAAGGTGTCCGAACTTTTAGGATGTTATAAATAAAGTTCGTAAGAGAGTTATGGCATTTTAACGCCGCTGTGTATGGCGCACGAAAATACCCGACTTGGATAATTTCAGTTCTATAAGCATCTACCAGCTATATACCAACACACAGATGATGTATTACGATTTCATATTGAGCGATTTCCGCGAGATCGTAATTAACTCTTTAACGACTTTATTTTGGTACAATAAAGTAATTTTGAAGACTGACATCTATTTACTTCATTCCCAGAGTAAACACGCGGCTTCGCCGTCGCGCGCCGAATCGGTAGGAACGAACGATCGTATCGTTTGGCAAGGAACGGGCACGTGTACCTAGAGACTTCCTCCTAGAGTACTTCCTAAGTGATTGTAAAAGAAAATGTACTCGCGTTTAATCAAACCGCTCCGCACGACGTTGACGCGTTAAAGCGAATCGTAATAATAATAATGGAATCAACGTCGATCCGGTCTTCTGGTATCGCGTACCGTCACGAGAGACGTCTCCTTCTCGCCTTGTGCACGCTCTATGTTGTCATATCGATATCTCTAAATATTTATTTCGAATTTAATGGAAAGAATAAAAAGCAAAGCGAGTGCTTTCAGCAGAAGATTCTTGTGAAAAAATTAATTGCGCTTCACAATTAATCCGCTCTGAACTAACGAGTTAGGAAATATTAGGGATTTATTAGCAAGCCATCTTGCTGCCGTATACACTTTGCGTTCTGCGACATTTATTTACAAGCCTTTATCACACTTATTCAGAAATTCACTAATATATGTATCGATATTGCTGTGAGATTGACGAAAATGAATTTCTCCTATGTTAAACATTTGATGTCCAAGAATTATGACTTAACGGTAACATAATAATACATATATGTTCCAACTATCACAGGCAGTTTTGTACTTTCATTTTCCATACCAAATCAAATATTAATTATTCATTAAGAAAATACCTAGTACTAGAAGTATATTATCTTTCACATTTGTAGAAAGATAAATAAGCAAAAATGCACACATACACGCGCGCGCGCACACACATATATATTATGTAGTGTGTATCAATTATTAACAAGTATCATAAAGCATTTATGAAAATATATATACCTCTTATTCGCGAAACATACCTCTTTCCAAGAGGTTCCTATCTTTCCACAAAATATTTAGTCTATAAAATAAGTAGACGTAATTTTATCTTTCAAGACAGACTTATAACTTTTATCTTAATAACAAATGTTTATATGTATAGGAAGAGAAAGCACATCTCTTGCAATTACAATATTTTCTGCAAGAAATATGATCGATGTGCTGTATCGCTACGATCAACTATGTTGGTGTGTACTAACTATGGTGTACTTGTAATCATGTATACATTAATTCGGAGCATACCACATATTAGATTGTGAATCTGGATTTAACAGTATCGCATTCACAGAATCTAAATGCTTTACGTAAGATTGATCGCTTATCTTACGTGTTGCAAAATTATTAAAGTGCAAATTATCTGTTTGTAATGATACTACCTTCGTCGCAATTTCTTGCGGAAATGCTTTTGTTTGGATACTTGGATCCATTACAGCTATTACTTTCAACGGGACATTTTCCGTAACCCTAACACTTCTGTCATTTATATACACAGGAATTTTTTGGATATTCGAACCATTTTCGACAGCTAAGTATTTTACAGGTTGAGTGACATTTTGCAGTAATACTGCGCGATGCTGATCGTCGATCGCTTTCGGATACATATACAGATCGTTTTGCCTCAGTGTTAACAACGGTACATTTTGCGTAGAGCTAGACAAATTAATGCAATTATCTACGCTATTATTATAGCCTCTTGTGTCGCGTGAACTTTCAGGCTGAGCAGTTTCTTTATGAAAATGATGCGCTTGTTCCTTATATTTACGTGGACAATTGGCAGAATCGAAATAAACATACTGTTCGTTGCAATGACACGCATTTTCATTAATTTGGTTCTTGGTATATTTTACATCTGTTTTACCAAATCGATTTTCCCGACATGATTCTGTAGATTTTTTTTCGGCTTGAACATTTTGGGTGATATTTAATATTGGCGGTATTGCTCTATCGTTAACATTATTAAAAAGGATATTTTGATTTTGATCACGAATATTTTTTCTATAAAGCTCTTGTTTGTTGGCTTCACACACATGTAATTTAGTTTGTTGAGGAAACTGTTTTGTTGGCTCTACATTGGAATTAGATGAACTTACGCTTTGAAGGTAATTAATCGGGTGATAATTATTTGAACGATAAAAAGGTTTTCTTATATCTGAGATTTGTTCTTGTTCAAGCAATTTTTCAGCATTTGTATTACATGAAACTTCAAAAGGTCGCGGATACAAAGAGTTACCGTATCGATGAAATTCATTTCTTTCGTTATATTCCTTTGGATGCATATTTACATTAAATTGTTCGACTTGAGATTCTTGCGAATCTTTTATTTTCATCGATCCAATTTGAGGCTCTAATATTTTCGTTTGATCAACCATCGCGTTTATTATGCTAGGAGTAGGAAGACTTTTGAATGAATTTGGGAATATAGTTTCACATAATTCCTTTTCGATTCTGTTACTTCTATTAAATAGGTTAGTTTCATATTTCTTATGTAAGCCTTCCACATCACCATTAATCTGTATAGAATGATTAGGCTTATTAATGGGACCGTCGATACATCGACGTAAGATAGTAGGTACTCGTTTAACATTCTTCACCTCACACTTATTTGCTATTCTGTTATTATAATTTTTAGATACATTGTTTAGTGCACAATTGTCGGAAACAGTAATCGGCAATTTTCTACGGCAATAATCGTTCGAAAAATGTTTCTCTGATAGTACAGGATCACTTAAAAATATTGATTTTTCTAAGAATTTGGAATTATTATCAATATGTGAATTTTTATGATTAGAAATGTCAATAGAAAAATTAACTTCATGCTGTTTATTTTTTAAAAGATGATTAACGTAGTTAGGATTTTTCTGAGAATCCATTTGGACTAAATCTTTTTCGTTTACGACAAAAAGATTTGTTGCTTTCGCAAGTTGACAGATGTCTTTAGATTGTTTTGAATATTGATTATCGCTGTTCTCACAATTTTCGACAATGAAGCTATTTGTGTTATTTGTAACAATATTTTGCGATAAGGAAGATGTAAAACTATAACCCATTGTGCCATCACGTTTTTTAAGCTTAGTATTTTGTACTAAATGGAATTTGTTATCTTTGTGAGATACATCTTCTTGAAAATGAGCTGCGATAATACAGTTTTCGCTACACTTAGGAACTTCGAATTCAACAGGTGATAATTGCGAAGTGTCCGAAGATACACAAACTTGATGTTCCACAGAATGTGTAGAGTTTGCATTTTCTAATTCTTGCTTCTTCTTTTTGCGTAAAAGTTGTTGACGAAAAGAATCAGCATAAGCATGTTTTAATTTTTTAATTGTTGATGTAACAGGATCTAATACAAATAATGATTAACGATTAACAAATTATTGGATAATGAAATAAATAATCACAGATTACAAAATTATTCTATATACATATAATATACCTGAGGGATAATTTTGTAGAATATCTGCTTCAAAATTTTTGGCAGAGATTTTGCAGAATTCCATATAGCGATTTAATGGGTCACATAATAAATCTTTGTTTTTTGAACCTATCAACTCTGTTTCTTTGTCACTAGTTTTATTTTCTTTTATAAGATCAGTATCATGAAATATTCTAAAATATTTTATTAGATATCATAATATAATGTTTTTTTTTTTTTATTAGGCTTAATAATTATATTACTTACTCTGTTGAAGTAGTAGTAATAATTTCTGATAGCTCTCTATCATTTTGGAACAGTCTTCGTTTACATATGTCTTCTTTTTGAACATGTTTTGATTTGTCATTGATATTTTGTTTTTTAGTTTTATTGAAATCTGTGTCTTCGAAGATGTTTCCTTCACCTTTCTTTTTAGCAAGACGTGGCTTCTGATTTTGACTGCAATATTAATATGTGTATGTGTGTGTGTGTGTGTGTGTGTGCAACCTTTATGTAAAATCTTTTCTATATTTAAATTTAAAAAATTTTGCATACCATCTTATTTAAGACAATAAACGTACCTTTGTCTTTTTCCTAGAACAGGACTTAGCTCCTGAGTACACAGTTCCTTCAATTCCAAACTGTTTTGTATGCAATTTTTATTTGCTGATTGTTTAGTAGTTTTATTCTTTATTGGTATCTCTACTAAACGTCTATAAAATAACATATAGGATGGTTATGTATCCATTTGTGATACATTATATCAAACTTTATCAGTAATTTACTTACTTAGATTTACGAGTGTCGCCATTGAAAAGTTTTAACGCATCTGCCTTTAGCCGGGCTTCATGGTATGTATTTTCCAATGTCTCTGCTATAAGATATTACAACAGATTATAAGATAAAACAACTGTACCATTTCATTGTGCTTGTCGTTATGACAAATGAGTTTCAATATGAATATTACCTTTCTGGATGTCTTTACCCTTTGTACCATTTCTGTATATGCCAGCAGCCTGAAACAATAATATCAGATATATGTAATAAATAATAGGAATATCATTGAAATAATAGAAATAGGATTATAAGTATTAGATAAAATATATTACTTACAGGTTCTGGCAAAAGTCTATTGCAGATTTTTGTTCGGCCTTGCTTTTTCTGTTCTTTGTTATAACCCTTCCCATTATTATCCTGTAATAAATTCCAACCTATTATATCAATCACAAGAATAATATCATCAAAATTAGTGCAAATTACATTTTTTCCAGCAGTAATTTATCTAAAAGTACATAAAAGTTCTGCTGGTCTCTAAGCTACAATTTTCTCTCTCAGGAAGGCAATTTCGCAGATTATGAGAGTTCCACGAGATTATTACTCAACCACGATCTTAGCTAAACTTCACTGAGAACATAACGCGTGTTAATAGTCTCGATCGAGCTATGTAAACGGAGGGATTACCGTTCACGAGGGCCTGTAAACAGTACCAGTAAACACCTGACGTTGATACTAACCTAACACTGACGGAAGCTACTGCGTCTCCATGCCATCTAACCATCGCGGCGCTTTTTGAAACGACAACGACGAACAACGACTACCGATAATCGCCGATATTGTCGCTTTTTTCATGCAAAAATCTAATCAATTATTAGTGGAACGATCGTGCTTATATAATACGCCACGACTATCACATTCAGCGGATCTACAAGTATGAAGTATCGCAACATTCGCGATTTGTCGTTTTCACACAATATAGATCTGTTTTTTTATTCCTGCCACTGCAAACTTTCTTTCTCGTTTTCATCAAACATGAATCTATTTCACTTTAAGATTTCTCTTATTTAATTAGATTTATTTTACTCCAAGTTCTATAAGTGTATATATTATCAGCTACAGAAAACAGACCTAATATATGATTACCTACAGATTACAGGTTAAGAGATTCATCAATGAAATTCGTTCATGAATTTCTTAATAATCCGTAATCTTTAAGTAACCTTAAGTAAAAGTATGTATTGTGAAAAGGGGTCTAAGCCTCTTTGTCGTCCTTGGGATTCAGCGCGTCGAGGTCGCAATCATCCCGAGGGTCGAGGATGGAATCGAAAACGCGACCTACCAACTTCCGCTTGGCCTGCAGGATCTTGGAATGTATCCGATCCAGGTCCTTCTTCCGTCGTTTCTGCTGCGGCTTCTCCCGGTCGGTGGATCTCCGCGTTATTCTACCCATAATCTCGCGTAACAATGTCCGGAGTAACTCGCACGAGTTACATACGTGTATACGTATCCGCACGCATTGTCAATATTGCCTGCGGTGACAAAACGTGAATACTGAATACTGATGCGCAGCGGTGCGCGCCAGTCAATGACGACTGATGAATACCTTCACGTATGTTTATTTACCCTCGCTTTCTCGTAGCTGCGTGAATTACGGGGATCATTAACAGGAATTCTTTTCTTCTTACGTCCATGACGTCATCGGGAAGAGAGGGAGAAATAGTTCGTAATTCCGGCGCAAGGGGTCGTCTCAAATGGTACGATGAAGATTTAAACCGTATATCCACATAATGCCTGGTTTATGCTTCGGTCTTAACTCTAAAATCCTAAAATTCAGCCAATAGGGCTGCCAGTTTTAACTGGTTCTAACTGAAATCTGTATTCCATTGGCTAAATTTTAGGATTTTAGGATTAAGACCGAAGCATAAACCAGGCATAAACTTGCATAGACTACTAAAAAAATTATCCAATCACATTTCTATCATAAGGACGTACGTAAAATACGATTGTATAATTTTCTTTATACATATGTTTATGCGACTGTGACTACATTTACACGATACCCTTAATCGGGTTTAATAACATCCGTAGTTATGAAATTAGCCAATCATAGCTGTTCCTCGGAAGAATGGAACGACTGTGATTGGCCAGTTTCATAATTACGGATGTTATTAAATCCGATTAAGGGCCACTGTCACCAGTATGTTAACCTATCGAAATCCTATACTGACATTGCGGATAGGCTAATGCAACCAAAAATTGGTTGTTGCAACCAAAAATTGGCTACTGTAATCAATTAAAAATGCTATGCCATATTTGACCGTCTAATTTGCTGCAGCAGCCAATCTTTTTTTTCAGTGTATATAATGCATAAAACGTAAGAAAATCAACCAATTAGAGTCTTATTTCATGGGAAGGAAGGAAGTAAAAGATTTTGATTAGTTTATTTTTTTATGCTGTATGTATTATGCGGTACGCAACTCTGTGCTCCTGTCCTTAAAGGGATCCTAAAGCCGTTTGTATTACAAATTAAATCGTAATTTTTGTATAACAAATACTTTTTTTCTCTTTCGCAGATTCGAAAATCCTTTTCCAGGATTAAAGTATACACATTAATACGTGTTTGTGAAGTGGAGTTTATGCCGAGAACGACAAAAAATTTTTCTTAAGATTTCAATTTCGAAATTTTTTGTCGTTCTCATAAATTTCACCTCACAAACACGTATTAATGTGTATAGTTTAATCCTGGAAAAGGATTTTCGAATCTGCGAAAGAGAAAAAAGTATTTGTTATACAAAAATTACGATTTAATCGGTAATACAGACGGCTTTGATGGGATTCTAAAGCAAAGCTCGAACAAAATCACTAGATGTCGCTATTTTTCCAGCGCATCGACATGTCTTTATACAAACGCTTTGAAGCATTTTTAAATTAGTCAATTCGTAAAATTCTTTGTTTCGATTGTTCGCTCAAACGCTTCGAAGCATTTGTAACGTTAAGTGGACCGCAGCCATACACTACTACACCAATATCTCACGCAACCTATGATACATTCACTCGCACGTTCGTGTCAATTTTCGTATAATAAATTCGTCGCGATAAAGCGTCTAAGTGTAATTTTAAGAACTCGACGTTTTTTGTTCGTGCAAACTACGTGTTTGTGGATCACTATTTCGTAAGTACAGATTACAAAACTTTCGTATCAAGCAAATGTCGTCACGACTTGACAGCTTGAAATGCCACTAAGAAATGGTAAAAAAATATATTAATTTCGAAATTTTTTGTCGTTTTCGGTATAAATTCCACCTCACAAACACATATTAATGTGTATACTTTAATCCTGGAAAAGGATTTTTGAATCTGTGAAAGAGGAAAAAAGTATTTGTTATACAAAAATTACGATTTAGTCGGTAATAGAGACGGCTTTAGGATCCCCTTAAATTGAAAACTTGTGACCGAAAAAAATACAAGATGGGAGAACTTTTATTAAAACTAAGAACTTGTGATATTAATAACAGATTATTTTCAGAGATACGTGTTTAATTAACGTTGAGAAATAAGAGATTTGAAGCGTATGTAATTTAGAATATAAATAGATGAACAGCTTTTTCGTTAAAAAAGAAAATTCGCCTCAACGAGAGATTACGTTCAGATACGTGTTTATAATTAATGTGGAGAGATAAGAGGTTTGAAGCGCGTATATAATTTAAATGTTCGCTGCGGAACGAGAAATCGCGATAAGGATTAAATTAGAAATATGTAAACCAACGAATACCTATACAATAGTAGTAGACAAATAGCTTTTTCATTAAAAAAGAAAGTTCGTCGTAATGAGAGATTATTTTCAGATACGTGTTATAATTAGTGTTGAGAAGTTAGAGATTTGTGAAATGTATGTATATAATTTATGTTTGCCGTAGAACAAGAAACCGCGATGACGGACTAAATTAGAAGTACATCATTGACTTGAATATAAAATAAATGAACAGCTTTCGTAAAAATGGAAACTTGTGATTTGTGTTAAATATTATATCAAGTAACTCAAAAACGGGGAATAATGGAAAAAAGGTGAACAGATTTGGATTCAGCATGAAAAAACTACGATAGATCTAATGATTTTTTTATTGTTGATTCAGAATCAGTTATGAATACTAAAACACAAGTATCTTCACAAAATATTTGGGCTTTATATAAAGTTAAACATATTTATATAATTTGTTATACATGGTACATTTTAAATCAAGTACACACTTGTTATTTTGTTTATAAATTGGACTTCTGATTTTCTGTGACATTTCATAGTAGTACCCTACGAAATATAGTTAAAAATATTCGATTCATCAATTTTAATATACATATATTTTTATTTTATTCATTTTTTCTATACTGTTTTAATGAATAATAAATACTGTGGAATTTAAGATCTTTGAACTCAATCCAGATAGAGAGAGAGAGAGAGAGAGAGAGAGATTGAAAAATTATAAAAAATGGAATTTTATTTTGTTCAAGAATGAAAAATTTTTACTGACATAATTGGTCTTGTAAGTCATAGAAAAAAAAGAAATTTTTATAAAAACATGTTGCTTTTTTAATAAGACATGTATCAATTAAGAGATTCATTTCGAATAGCTGCGATGTTTTAATACGTGATGTTAACTCGTTTTCTTACGATAATCTACATTTACTGTTTCTTACTTACTCTCGATATCTTGACTTGATGATGATAAGATAATAATAAGTACTTATAAATAACATTTAACAAATTAAATAAACAAGTAAAAGAAAGAATATAGTTTGTAATACAATACGTAATATAGGTCAAAGCGCGCGCGCGCACACACACACACACACACACACCGCTTAATTTTTGTATAACAATTATTTTTCCTTTTCTACAGATTTTAAAATCTTTTTCTAGAATAAAAGTATGCAATACGACATAAACACGTGTCTGTGAGATGGAGTTTATGCAGAGAACGACAAAAAAAATTTCGAAATTGAGATTTTCTTTACTATTTATTAGTCCAATATAGCGCTCTAGAGCTGTCACATCGTGACAACATTTGCTTGCATATAAAAGCTGTGCAATCTGTACTTACAAAATATTAGTCTACGTCTACAGACTAGTAGTTTGTACGAAGAAACGACGTAGAGTTCCTAGAATTGGGCTTAAACGTTTAATTAAAATGTTATTATTATATGAAAACGTGTATGTAGGCGTGAGATATTGTAATAGTAATAGTACATAGTGATGTGCCAATAACATGTAAATCATGTGTATGTAAGGGTTACTTACAATAGAGACGTGTCTTCAAGAGACAGCAATAAGTCATACGTCTCATACGCCAAAGCTTGTGCGTTACTTACGTCTACAACTTAAGTCTCTAAGTAAGCGTTACGATCGTTACAACCATTCTTGTGCTCAGACCCTAAGTCTCTCTCTCTCTCTCTCTCTCTCTCTCTCTCTCTCTCTCTCTCATTACTCTCATTACGTAGTTATATGTTTGTTCTTAAGAACATTTATGTACATACTTTCACATTAAATTTATGGATCTTGTTTAACTGTAGGTAGATTAATACTATACAATGAGTAAATTAACTTAATTGGTTGAGCGAATTGGGGTTAAACTATTTGAACGTGAATAAGTCATAATGGCGTGGGCAAATATGCGGAAACAATGTGCTACATGAATAAATGTATAATATTAATTACTGAAAAATGTACTATCGACGATGTCGCTCTCGTTTTATTATCTACATTTTTGAAATAGTGAGAAGCAAATGCTTGTAACGTATACATATGGTAATAAAAAAATATATATTTCTGAAAAAATGCGGAACGATTTATTAAATAAAAGATTGATTAAAAATTACATTTCACAGAATTTTTTTGCATCTTATTGTTAATCAAAATAGATATAGGCGTTACGTTAAAATACGAGACGTAGGGGCTCGGATGGCGGACGTTGTATAAATGTAAATGAAAAATGTAAACGTTTAATTTCGGTTGCAAAAAAAAGATCATTATTTTTACGCATCTATGATTGCTTTGCGAAATTGGCTTCTCGCTGTGCAAACAACCATAGCGAGTTAATGAATTGCAAATAATATTGTAGTCTGCAATATAACGTGTGCTCGACTCATCAGAAGTATAAAATCTAAAATTCTATTTTTATTTCTAACCAATCAACAAAGCGCGCATTTTTATGTTAAGCTGTTCGATAACACATTCGAAGATCGATTAAATTGTATAGATATAATCACGTAATCATCCCGTCGCTGTGTCCCGCGAATCACGTGTTAGATTGGATCGCTTTGTTCGATTCGCGTCGCGGCTTTAGAATGAAGAGAAAGCATATGTGACTCAGATCTTTGTCAGTCGGCCGTCAAGTGAAGTTCGTGTCATTTTCTAATAATTTATCCGTCACATGTGCAGTGAATGATGCAAAAGTGGGCAGCAAATTTCAAACTGTCTTGTGTCAATTTACAGGTGAGAAAAATAAACTATATATACATTACGAATTAAGGTATTATACTTTTCTATGTGTCGCTCGTCGTTGGTTTTTAAGCGATAAATAGGTCGCGCGATAATTCACTGATGACAATTCAGTCATGTGATCTTCGCTATAAAAACGAACGATGAGCATTCATACCTTTACGAGACACGACCACAGTT